AGCCAATCATTGGTACCAGGAAAATGGGATGTTAGTCAACGAGAGCAAGCACCAGGGTCTCGTTCTTGGCGAAACAGACTATAGTTTTTCCTTCCCAGTAAAGGACACATTAGAGATATTCGGAATGGATATAGATGATAAGCTCGATTTCTCTAGTCACATATCCACCATATGCAAAAAAATCAATAATCAATTTAATGTTATGTTACGATTTCGAAAACTGATATCGAGGGACACCTTACTTACGCTTTACAAAGAATACATTTTACCGCATTTTAATTATTGTTCCTCAGTTTGGCACTTTTGCGGGGCGCGGAATACGGATAAACTAGAGGCGCTGAATAAGAGAATACTTAGATTTATACTTAGGGATTACTTGCCGCCATATCATAGCCTTCTGACTAAGGTCAACACTAGTTCCTTATGTAAAAGGCGTATCCAGAACTTCCTTATTTTATTGTACAAGAGCCTGTTTTTCACTCATTTTCCAGCTTATATGAGAGGTATGTTTTCACTTCGGTCCTCTTCTTATAATCTTCGCGGTAATTACATACTGTCACTTAGGAAACCTAGAACAACTAGTTATGGCCTTAATTCATTTTCATACTTCTCAGCTAAGCTATGGAATACACTGCCTGACAATATCCGCATGAGTGCATTTAAAGACTTTAGAAAGTCGCTCCTGCTTATCTTCACTTTTCTGTTAATTTCTACTGATATGTTACATAATTATATTTCTAAATACTGTGTATTTTAGTATAGTTAGTACTTTAGATCTTGTACAGATATATGTATAAATATATATATATTTATATGGTTCTCCTCCATCCTAGCATTAGCACTGCACTGATGAGGCCCAGAAGGCCGAAACAGTACTGTCTGCAGTTAGTTAGATATATATATATATATATATATATATAGATCATCTCCATTTTATGTTTTCTCGAAGATATTAGCTCCAACAAGCTACTCTAAAATTCGAGATGAAATAAAGTTTATGATGATGATGATGATGATGATGAATGTGAGAGAAGACGAAACAAGCCAGCTTGTCAGATTATTGCCCCACCTCCGTTTCAGCTGCAGACCCTTCGCCCAAACAACCGTAGATTTTGCAGGTCCTTTCTATTCTGTTTAAGGACGCGGAAAACCTGGACAAGAAAGGAGGCTGTGCCCTTTTACTTGCTTGGAAAGACGAGCAGTGCATTTAGAGATGGTCTGGAGACTAGATACGTTCTTAAACGTCTTCGCCCGTTTTACCAGTTGTCGTGGGGTTCCTAAAGAAGTGACAAGCGACAGAGGCACAAACTTCGTGGACGTCGTGGGCGAGTTAAAGAAACTAGTCAGCGAGTTAGACTGAAAACATCTTCAGAGCAAGACAGTCCAACTTGGAGTGACAGCTGCCCTACATTTTGGAGGGGCCCATGAAGTAATGATAAAAGCTGCTAAAAAAGCCACTTACGCCGCGGGGGGAGAACGAGACGCGAGCGACGAAGAGCTGATCACCGCGTTCGCTGGGGTGGAGTCCCCTCTTAATTCACGTCCGTTGGTTTATCAGAGTTCAGATACACGTGACGATGTTCCATTGACACCTAACCGTTTCTTGCGCGGCCAAATGGGGGGGACAATTCGCTCCTGAGGCCGTTGAAACCACTACTTTACATCCGCATGGCGAAAGGTTCAAGATATTATTTTACGAGTGTGGAGAAGATGGCTCAAGGAATTTGTTTTAGCCCCAAACAGTCGACCAACGTGGACTTCAGAATGCCGATACTTAAAAGTTAAGGATGTGGTTCTTGTGATTCAGCCCGATACTCCAAGAGGACGTTGGCCATTAGGACGCGTAAGTGTATCCTGGACGAGATGGCCACATCCACGTAGCTTAAGTTGCGTGTGGTCTCAAGACTGTCATTAGATCGATTTGAAAACTGGTGCCGTATGATGCACGATCCTCGCAGTAGAGAGCGCTATTTATGCAAAAGCGAAAATCAGATCTGAAAAACAGCAGGCCTGTACGGGATTCGAACCACTGACCTCTGCGATACTAGTGCAGCGCTCTACCAATTGAGCTAACAAGCCAACTGGGAGCAGGCCGTTAAGTTGATTCGTAATAAACCCGTGATGATAAATCAGATACAATGTATATATGAAGTTCATATATTTTGAACTACGGTATTAGATACGTATGATGCACGATCCTCGCAGTAGAGAGCGCTATTTATGCAATAGCGAAAATCAGACCTGAAAAAAATCAGGCCTGTACGGGATTCGAACCACTGACCTCTGCGATACTAGTGCAGCGCTCTACCAATTGAGCTAACAAGCCAACTGGGAGCAGGCCGTTAAGTTGATTCGTAATAAACCCGTGATGATAAATCAGATACAATGTATATATGAAGTTCATATATTTTGAACTGCGGTATTAGATACGTATGATGCACGATCCTCGCAGTAGAGAGCGCTATTTATGCAATAGCGAAAATCAGACCTGAAAAAAATCAGGCCTGTACGGGATTCGAACCACTGACCTCTGCGATACTAGTGCAGCGCTCTACCAATTGAGCTAACAAGCCAACTGGGAGCAGGCCGTTAAGTTGATTCGTAATAAACCCGTGATGATAAATCAGATACAATGTATATATGAAGTTCATATATTTTGAACTGCGGTATTAGATACGTATGATGCACGATCCTCGCAGTAGATATTGCATAAATAGCGCTCTCTCCATGGAACAAAGGTAATGTCACAACAAATGGGACAAAGCTAAAACATAGAAAAAGATGACTTTTGTCATTTGGAATATCAACTAAGTAAAGAGTTAAAAAGCTGACGTTTC